ATCTTTTGCTGTAATGCGTAAGATTAGGGCATTTACCCCAGCACTGAAGCAGCAGTACAGCAAAGCAGAGATAGTAAGTAGAGTAGGGTTATTGCATGGCAAGAGAAAGTGAGAATATCCCAGAGCAAGGGGACAAACAGATCAGCTAGGGACCAAAATGTGTAGAAATGATTTTGTTTTTTCTGAGCTTTTGTTATAATGGTGATTTTGCAGTGGCATGAAACTTTGGCGTTCCAGTAGCCATGACTCTTCCAGTTGGCTCTGGCTGGCTCTTGCACAGCTGCTGCCCATTTGGGGAAAGTCATATGCCTCTACTGTTTGAAAATAGAGGGCATGTGCCTGTGTACTTGGGTCACTTTGCCTTTTCGGGCTTAACAGCATCAGCAGAAGGTCATATAATGATCAACTGACACTCAGAGCAGCTTATGGGCCATAACTTTAGGTGAGAAAATTTCTCGTTCACACCGACTGGGATGTATACCTCTTAGCAGAGTTGTGTTTAGGCCATGGGGAATCAGGGCAAAGGGGAGACCTGTCCCCAGAGAGAACCTCTCTGTCCTCATTTCCAGGAATGACTATCGAGAGCAGAGCAGCTACTTTCACTATCAGGAGGGAAGAAAGCCAAAGGGAGCTGGAAGTCACCAAGTATCAGGACATCCAGGGATTTAAAATAGCTGTTTGAGAAAATCTATATAGAGCTTAAAAGCAAGTTGTAATAGAACCTTACCCAATAGAAGCTGGCACCTGCCAAGCATTTTTTGCTCATTCCCATTGCTTGTTTCCCAGCATTGTTTCCTCAGATTTAATTTTTCCCTTATTAGCCTCTCACTCTCTGGATGATTTAGTCCTCTTTTAGATGTAACCATTATGCACAGTTCATAAGCAGAAATGCACTTTTCCTTAGTGCCCCTGATAGTCTCTTCTTAGATGGCTGCATCCACCTCCTCTCTACAAGTCCCACACGTGTTCATCAACTTGCCCTTCACTCTCCCATTGTCCCTAACTCAACTTTTTTCTTTTTTTTTTCTACTATGTCTCCCTCTCCCAAACACAGTGCAGAATTGGACAAGATGCTCTCTTTTATCTCTTTTCAAAGCATTCTGCTAAATCTATAATAACCATCAGTGGTGTAGATTTGAATTTAATGCATTAAGTCTGGCCTAAAGATGAAAGGAGGCTGGAATAAGGGGCCCAGCCATACACAGATTAATCTAGTTACATACATGTGAGCATATGCACATACAGAGAGAGAGATCTGGAAATACATGTAGCCAAATGTTAATAGTTATTCATTTGGGCATTACATCTGGTCACTTCTATCTGTGGATGTTTCTGGAAGCCTTTGCAGGAACATCTTATCCCAGGTCTTAGTCTTTTCTTTTTCCAATTTATTGCTCATCTAGTCATCAATTATTCTTGTAGAACAAAATTCTGATCTTACCTCTCTCCTGCTTAACCACATCCAATAGTTTGCCCATTGTCTGGATAGTTAATATTCCTAAGCACTGAATGTATTTTTTCCATGTCCCTTCACCCCCAATTAAGTTTTGTTTTTACAGCTCTTTTAACTTCTTAGCCAAGACTGATTTCTTAATATGCTATCAAGTGTGAGGTACATGTTATTTTAGCTGGAGAGCTTTCTGGAGATAACTATAATTTCTGGGTGGGGTGTCTTTACTTAGGGAGTATTGTAAATGGTCAGTACACTAGAGTGACACAGTATTTTGCTTATTCTGCTTGTTGATAGTAGCAGCCCCCAAATCATGTAGTATGCCCTGCTTTATTTTGGAGAAAATTAATCACATTCCAAATATACTTAAGCTGAAAAAAAGTAATCAAAATACAAATGTACTTTAGGAAATACCTCTCTTATTCTGCACTTTAAAGGTTTAAGTGTGTGTGTGTGTGTGTGAGAGAGAGAGAGAGAGAGAGAAAGAGAGAGAGAGAGATGCACTCTCTCCAAGGATCAAATTATTTCATTCCTTTCTCCTCCAATATTTCTTTATTCTTAAAATATCGATTTTTTCCTCTTTTAGGTCATACTTTGTCCATTTGTGTTGGGAACTTTATTTAATTATTATTTTTATTCAAGGATTATAAACCATATCAAAGCCTGTTGTCACAAGATGGATCTGAAGGCCAAAATGCAATGTACTGTAGTCTTGTACAATATAGTAAGGTACTTAAGCCACGAGTAGTGTTATTTTTCTATGGTAAAGGAAATTTTTTCCTCTCCTCCTTTCACCAAAGCACACAACTAATTTTCATAAATTTCTTGCTTCAAAGTTTTTAAGTCAGTTGAATTATTGTTTGTTTTTTTTTGTTGGTACCAGCGATTGAACCCAGGGGTGCTTAACCGCTGAGCCACACAGGATTTTTCTACATGTTTTTTATCCTAGTAAAAATTACTGTAGGCTCTTTAGTAGCAGCACATAGATATGGCAGACAGTTGTAAGAATATTATAGGTAGAAATAAAAGTAATAGTAAGCATTACTGAACTTACTAGTTTCAAGAATACAACATTTCCAATTTCAGCTTTTAGAAGCCATGCTTCCTGCACCCCTAGTTCCAGCTAAAGGAATGAGATGTCTAGGAGGAAGCATGACATTTACATACACAGTGTCTGCGTGTAGTTTAATGAAGTTTAGAAGTTAATTATTACCATTACTCGATTAGCTTATTAGATCCAAGAAGAAAAACCAGTTAACAAGTATTTATTGACACAGGAAGGACTGTATCATGAATATATAATGTTAGGTGCTGGGAAACAAAGTGGGAAAACAAAAGAGTTTAAAGACTGGAGGGGATGTTATACATTCAACAAGTGATCACAATATACTAAATAAATGAATTAAAGGCTACAGTGTACCATGAGCAAGAAATATAGGGAGGGTCAACACTAGAAATCTAATACATACATGCATGCACATGCACACATATTCAAAAGGACCAGAGCTTAGAATTTATCTTTTCTCTACCTTAAGTGACAGCTTTGTTTATTTGTAACAAGTAATATAAATAGAAGCTTGTATATAAAATTTATATGTACCTTTTTTCTGCTGCTGTTTATTGCTGCTTGATGAAAACAAACAGGTTCTACTGATGCTGGTAGAGTCACTGCAGTAAAATCTATTCGAGATGTGTGATTGTTGTGAGTTCTAATATAGATGAGTGGTAGATTCACTTATGAAATTTGGATGATGGTTTACCTAAGCAATTGAGCATGGTGGCTAAAGACTCTGGCTTCTGTATAACACTGGCTCTACTACTTACTAGTTGTGCAATCTCAGACTTTAATCTGTAAAATGAAGATATATAATCACATTAACAACCTCAAATTTAGGATAAGGATGAAATGTGCTAATACATGTAAAGCACTTGGAACAGTGCCTGGTACAGAGTAAGTGCTGTATAAATATCATCTATTGTTTTTCTCTAACACGGTCCTGGATTTTTAGCCAACTAACTGAGCACAATAATATTGAATCTCATGGATACAGGAGATTTTTGTCAGGGGTATACCAGAAAAGCTCTATTAAGCACAGCTAAGGGAATCCAGGAATTTAGTACCATATTTATTGTCTTTAATATTGAGTATCAGGGTGTTAAATGATAAAGACAGTGTTTTCAAGTTAGAATATGACATTTTATTCTGTCACTGTTAGATAAAGTAGTAAAAACAGTAGTTGATTGTCTTCACATATTAGCTTCCTTTAGACTTTTCAAATGATACATTTGGCTTTTTACACAAATATATTGTGTCTTAGTTCAGTTGGACAATTAAGAACATAGATAGGAAGAGCTGATAGAAGCTTTTAATATGTGAAAAACCTCAGACATAAACCTTTACAATGTTATTAATAGGCATATCATCAACAACAGATTTTCAGATTTTACGCTTCACTCTGGACAAAAACAAGAGCATGACATCTTGAAGTTCTTCACTGGGTAATTTAAAACTCAGTTATAATGTGAACACCAGCTGCACATATCATGTTACTTGAGTTCAGCATCAATTAAAATTGTAAATGAAACTAGTCATATGTTCCCTTTCAAAGATGTTACTGTCCAAATCAACAAACTCAAAGCAACTATCCAAATCAATAAAGTAGCATGAATATTTTTACCATAAATATTTTGTTTGCGTTTTCTAAATCCATTTTTAGTGGGGGGCAGGTACCGAGGATTGAACCCAGGAGGGTTAAGCACTGAGCCACATCCCCAACCCTTCTTAAATATTTTTTTTTCTTAAACTTTTTAGTTGTAGATGGACACAATATCTTTAATTTATTTATTTTTATGTGGTGCGGAGGACCAAACCCAGTGCCTCATACATGCGAGGCAGGCGCTCTACCACTGAGTTACAGCCCCACCCCCACACCCTTTAAAATATTTTATCAAGAGGCAGGGCCTTCCTAAATTGATGAGGCTGGCTTTGAACTTGCAATTCTCCTGCTTCAGCCTCCCCAGGCGCTGGGATTACTGTGCCACTGCTCCTGGGTTTAAATCTATTTTAAATTCTGATTTCTATTCTATTCAAATGAACTATAGTATGATAGTTAATACACATCAAGAGCTTTCCATGTAATCCAGGTGGCTTTATATTTTTGTTCTAACCAGAAAATTATTTAAAGCAGTCGCAACTTTTAGACAATACAGCCTCAAGGAGAAGAAAAGGGGGCAGCACTGAGAACTGAAATGTGTCGTCTTGAGGACTGTGTTCTTTATACAGCATTTATACTGACGTCATCTTTTACAAACTAAAAATCTTGTATCACTTATTTAGAAAAGAGAGTGGCGTTTTTAAGATGAGTATCTCCAGCTTGCCCGCCTCTGATGATGGCTATTAACCAAAAGAACGTACTCTTTTGGCGGCTATGGAAAATAAGACGGAAAAGTAAGAATGAGTTTTGCAGTGTAAATCAACCTCCCAGACAGCCAGTAAGACGGTGGATTCCCGGGCCCCGCCTTCTTCACAGCCACCCCCTCCGCGGGGTGGAGCACCTGCTAGGGCGCGGAGGGCGGGGCCGAGAGCTGTACTCTGCGCGAGCGGCCGGGGTTCCAGTGAGCAAGTGCGGCGGGACGCTCCGTGCGGTTGAGCGAGCGGGCGGAGTCCTGAAGGGTTGCGGGACCTGGGCACGATGAAACCCGAAGGGGAGCGGCCGGCGGTCGGGGTTGCGTGCGATGGCTTCTCAGAGCTGGAGCTGCTGAAACTGCGCGCGGCGGAGCGCATCGACGAGGCGGCTGAGCGGCTGGGGGCCCTGAGCCAAGCCATCTGGAGCGAGCCTGAGCTGGCCTACGAGGAACACCGCGCCCACAGTGTGCTGGCGGGCTTCTTCGAGCAGGAGCCGCCGGCCGCCTCCTGGGTGGTGCAGCAGCACTATCAGCTGCCGACCGCCTTTCGCGCAGAATGGGAGACACCGAGTGCCACGCGGTGCGCGCTGCACTTGGGCTTCCTCTGCGAGTACGACGCGCTGCCCGGCATCGGCCACGCCTGCGGTCACAACCTCATAGCCGAGGTTGGGGCGGCGGCCGCTCTGGGATTGAGGGGGGCCCTAGAGAGCTTCCCTGGGCCTCCTCCCTCGGTGAAGGTGAGGTGGGGCCGGTACATCCCTTGCACCTTAGTCCCTGGGCAGGTGTAGGGAGTGCACTTGACGTGTGGCCATCCCTTTGGCAAAAGGCAGAAAAGAATCCCCGAAAGAAAGTCGGGACTAAACGTGTTGCCGACTAGCGACCTTCTGCAGACTTTTTATTTCCACTTTTGTAGTTATAAACAACTCAGGAGATTCTTCTCTTGGAAAGAATTGAGAACCAAGCCTGGTTTTTGTTACGGGTTATTTTTGGTGACTGAGAGGCAACTGCAATTTGCTGACAAGTAATTCCTCCAATTACTTCAGGAGAAAGTAATTTTTGTAGGAAAAAAAAAAAAAAATATATATATATATATATATATATATATATAGAGAGAGAGAGAGAGAGAGAGAGAGAGAGAGAGAGAGAGAGAGGTATGATTTGCTTGGTATTTGAATAGGAAATTTTCAGCCATTAGAATCCTCTAACTTCTAGAATTATACTAATAATGGAAAAGCAAATGAACATTTAGTACAAAGATAAGTTCATCCTTAAGTCTTAATTTTTATTTCACTATTTTAAGAAATATACCAATTCCTTAAACGGGAAATGTTGTTTATGTTTGTCTTAGGCAAGTTTAATCTTGTGTTATACTGTTTTTCCAGATGTTATATTATTCTTCATTCTGTGAGCTAAGATTCAATCATCATCACTCAGGTTAAAGGGAAGACAAATGTTTTAATATTATTTAGCCCATTTCCTCCCAGTGTCAGTAACCTTTCTCTTTTGTCCTAACAGTTCCATCTCTCTAGGCTTTCCCTTTAGCTACCTTCTATTTTCAGCCGCTGGGGGCTGGTTTTTGCCTTAGATTAACTTTTTTGTTTTGTTGGGAAGGGGGAATATCCTTTGTCATTGCATAAAACATTGGAGAGATTTAGTTTTAACCAGGTTTATGAAAGACTGGGAACTGTCAGCAATAGACCATCGATTTTATAAGTCTAGAGTTAAGAATAAAGAGCAGCTAGTTTAAGAGTGTGGACACTATGGTTTCTAAAGAAAACTGGACTTTGAGAAATGTACCAACTTCTCATTCCAAATGATTGTTCTCAGTTTTAGCAAGGTTATCTGTTCTCAGTTTAGCAAGGTTATCTGTTCTCAGTTTAGCAAGGTTATCTGTCTTATCTGAAAATGGAATTTGAGCTGATTCTCTTTACAAGCCAAGAATTTTTTTCCAGGTTGTTCCATTGTGTTCAAAGACATGACCTTGAAAATATATGAGTTGTTTATAGATAATTTTCCTTTGCTTTTTAAAATTGAAGAAGTTAAGCTTAAGTTTCAAAGTAAAATGTTTATTCTGTAAAGTTTTCTTTTGTTTAATTAGGTGTTTAGTGACCAGTAAATCTGCCCTGGTTGATTAGTAAGTTTGTGTAGTAGTTGGCCATTTCTTACCATGGTATTAAGATTTGTTTAATGCTCTTCATAAGGGATTAATGAGTTAAGACTTTTTAAGTAGGTAGCTTATTAAGGAATAGTTCAGGCCAGCAGGTTAGGGCATCTAAGGTAATTTAGCTGTGCCTGAAGATTTGCTCTTTGACCTGGGGCAAGACACTTTCAAAACCACCCTCCCCAAAATGATGATGCAGGTTACTCATCTACCTCACAGAGTTGTTGTGAGGATGACTAACAAGTCACTTGAAAAATTCCTTACCAGTAAAATGCTGGTGAATAGCTCTATACTTTTACTAAACGTCTAAGTCATGAAGAAGCTTTAAGAAATAAGTCCTTGCAAATTTTGAGGAACTAGGTATGTAATATTCAACTTTTTTCATATTTGCCATTAGTTATACAAATTTGAGTTATTACAAATAACTATTAATAAATATTGGGAAAGTTTCTTATAGTGTCCCTGGTACATACATTACTTCAAATTAGTATAATAATGTAAATTAAATTTTGTGATTAATTTAGCACCATATATTTTATGCCCACTGCATAAATCCTCTGTCTCCATAGTCTAAGAACCTTAATATAGATTGTGAGTACATGTTTGAGGGAACCTGTTTGATATTTTCCTACTAGGACTTTTTGTTGTTGTTTTGCTCTGAAATAGGTATTTCCCTCTAGATAAGTGTCCTGGGAACCCCTGCAGAAGAAGATGGTGGAGGCAAAATTGATCTAATTGAAGCAGGAGCTTTTAAAAACCTCGATGTTGTTTTCATGGCCCATCCATCCCAAGAAAATGCTGCTTATCTACCCGATGTGGCCGAACATGAGTAAGTAATCAAGTTGCAGATAAACTTCTTAGAGGATAACTGATATAGAATACTTTTATGTCTAAGGGCCCAACACTCCAAATTTTTTTTCATTTAAAAAGTAAATTGAGGGGCTGGGGACGTGGCTCAAGTGGTGGCGCGCTTGCCTGGCATGCGTGCGGCCCGGGTTCGATCCGCGGCACCACATACAAACAAGGATGTTGTGTCCGCTGAAAACTGAAAAATAAATATTAAAAAAATTCTCTCTCCCTCTCTCTCTTAAAAAAAAAGTAAATTGATATGTGCATGTATGAATATGGTATAATGAATCCCACTACTGTGTATAATTATAATGCTCCAATTAAAAACAAAACAAAAAAACCCAGTAAACTGAGTCAGATGCAGTGGTGTGTGCCTATAGCTGCAGTTACTTGGAAGACTAAGGCATGAGTGAGGAGTGCTTGATCCTGTATGAATTAGGAGACCAGAATGGGCAGTGTATTGAAACCCCATCTAAAAATAGAACAACAAAACAAAAAGTATATTGTAAGGGCTGGGGATAGAGTGCTTGCCTCCTATGCACAATGCCCTGGGTTTAATCCCCAGCAACCCCCCCCCCCCACACACACACACCCACACAAAAATATATTGTAAGATAATGTGATGTCTTAATTACATTGAATGACATTTGGTAAGACTCCAAAACAAAACAAAAAGTGTATTGAAAGATAATGTGATGTCTTGATTAACATTGAGTGACATTTGGCAAGACTCTTCTAATTGAGATTTATTATAGTATTCATAATAGGGCTGCTAAAATAGTGCCTAAAAACATAGGAGTAGCAAACAGAACATGGTGACATTTGTGTTCTTCTTTGAACTCTGAGAGGAATCTGATTTCTGGAAAGTGTGTATTCTTTGATAAGGAGTTGCCTTTGCAACTGAAAAGATTTGTAAGAGATGGTTTTATTAGTCAGCCTACTTGGCCCCAGGCCTGTTTCAGTGTCTGGCTTCTTTGTTTTTTCATGGGTCATCTTTTTAAGATTTCCACAAAAGAGGAACAAGATGAAGAATTTAAAGAAAGTTATTTATCTCTTTAAATTTCTAATAATGAATAAGATAAAGCAAGTTTTTCCTATTGGCCACCTTTCCCATATCCAGTCCCTTCTTTGCTGTTGTTGTTTTCTCCAGTGCTGAGGATGGAACCCAAGTCCTTACACATGCTAGGCAAGCACTCTACCACTCAGCTACAGCACTAACCCTCCAGTCCCCTCTTTAGAGGTGTATTTATAGCACATGCATAGGTTTATAGGACATGCATAGGTACATGTATAAATTAAATATTGAAGGAAGGTTTGTTGTTTTTTTCCTCTCTCTCTGAGGAATTCAGCTTAACACACACACATACACACATTTTATTTTGTTTTATTAGGTACTCAGGGTTGAACTCAGGGGCCCTCTACAACTGAGAAACATCCCCAGCTCTTTTTTTATTTTTTGAGACAGAGACTTCCCATGTTGCTAAGGCTGGCCTTGAATTTACAGTCCTCTTACCTCAACCTCCTGAGTCACTGAGATTACAGGCATGTATCACTATGCCCAGCCATTCAATATATTGTTCTAGCTAGTTGCAGTGGCACATGTGTGTAATCCCAGTGACTCAGGAGGCTGAGGCAGGAAGATTGTGAGTTCAAAGTCAGATGCAGCAATTTAGGCCCTAAGTAACTTAGTGAAACCCTGTCTCAAGTAAGAAAGAAAAAAAAAAAAAAGGGTGGGGAGGTGGCTAAGTGGTTAAGCACCCCTGGATTCAATCCCTGTTACCAATAAATAAATAAATAAATACACAAACAAACACACACATTGTTTTGGCCCTATTTTTTAATTTAAATTTTTTTTTTTTTTGAAATGGGTCTTTCTGTGTTGCCCAGGCTGGCCTTGAACTCTTGATCCTCATGCTTCAACCTCCAATAGCTGGCACCAGAGGCAAGTGCCACCATAACTAGTTCACAGGCCCTTGTTTTGTTAAAACAAAATCAAACAGTTTGTTTTGAAAATAATTTCATATTATTTTGCTTGAAGTATGTTTTTAAAGGCCAAAATATTAATCTAATATAAAATAACTTTTAATATTTCTTTTCCTGTAGTTTATTGTTCTTTAATTGTATATTTAAGCGCTCAGTGGAAGAGCGCTTGCCTGGCAAATGTGAGGCACTGGGTTCGATTCTCAGCACCACATATAAATAAATATATAAAGATCAGTCAACAACTGAAAAAAAAAATGGTACTAGAGCCATTTTCATAAAGGACTTCCTTTTCCATTTTATACTCTAGTTTCAAGGTGATGGTGAAAAGATATATATCAAGGAAATAAGTATCTTACAATCTTATAAATGTGTTTGAATGTTTTTACTTAACTTCGTTCTGCTAACAGAATGTGAGGAATGACATAAGAATTGGTAGCATTCTAAGAACTCCTGAATGTCCAGATGGTTTTTTAGTCTAAATGTGAACAATACTAGTTTAAAAAGTGTTAACTAAGTAAGTCAATCACTTAGTTACACTTATTTAGTTATAAAGTTATAAGTATTTAATTCACAATCTGAGAATATGAAAACCATGGAGTGAAGTAATGATAATTTATAGAATTTTAAAACATTAATGAAGTATGGGGATATAGCTTAGTAGTGGGGAGCTTGCCTAGCATGTATGAGGCCCAGGTTTCATCCCCAGTGCTGGAAACAAATTAAGTTAAATAAAATGTTAGCCACCTAAAGTATTTGGAAACATTAAAATATTGCTAGGGTATCTTATGATAACATTGTGAGTATAAAGTGATTTTCAAAGATTATCTTAGCCCATTTCAAATGTTGCTTTCTAATAAAGAATTATCTGAGTTTTTTTTTTTTTTTTTTTTTTTTGTGGTGCTGGGTGCTGGGATTGAACCCAGGGCCTTGTGCATGCAAGATAAGCACTCTACCAACTGAGCTATATCCCTAGCCCTTATCTGAGTTTTTGCAGACTTTTGATAGAGAGCTATCATCATTCAGTGTAAAAGGATGCAAGAACTCCTATTTTATAATTGCATCATGTAATATAGTATTGCATATGTGTTCAAGTTGAATTGTGTACAAATTTAATCTGTAGGAGGTTGGTTGAGCAACATTTTCTTTCTCTATTTAGAATGCTTTCTTTGAGTTAAGTACTATGTCACATAATAATAAGTTGTAACTAATGCAAGTAAATGTAGTGCTTTTACTGCAAATAATTTGCAAGTAAAAATTTCAGCAATGTGAATTAATTTTGAATAATAGTTTGGTAGTTCTAACTACCTGCATTTTTTTTTTTTTTTTACTTTAGTGATACTGGAGGGAGTAATTTTCAATGATTTTTTTTTTTAGTTGTAGATGAACACAATATCTTTATTTTATTTTTACATGGTGCTAAGGATCCCACCCAGAGCCTCATGCGTGCTAGGCAAGTGCTGTATCACTGAGCCTGAGCCCCAGCCCCAGCCCTTTCAATGATTTTTTTATTTCCTAGTGTGACTGTGAAATACTATGGAAAAGCATCTCATGCTGCTGCTTACCCCTGGGAAGGAGTCAATGCCTTAGATGCTGCTGTTCTTGCCTACAACAATTTGTCTGTGTTAAGACAGCAAATGAAACCAACCTGGAGAGTTCATGGTATTACTGTCATATATTTTGTATAATGGTGCTTAATATATTTCAGTGAAATATAATTAATATTTGATTTTTTTAAAAATTGGAGACATAGTTATGTACTTCATATGAAAATTCTAAAATTTTGAACATTTTCAGAATTCATGTGTCAGGGTACTAGGATATTTATATGTGGATAGGAAGATATTTACAACTATTGTACATAAATGGAATGGCCATCTTTGAGCAATAGAGCTGAAGTTTTATGTGGGGAACTGTTTTTTCTGTCAGTGTTTGAAAGTAAGAACTTGATTTTCTGGTTATCCCATTGTCTCTAATGTTAACAACATTTTGTCCATTCCTCAAATTTAAAAAGGTGTAACGATTACTGGATTTTAATAAAGGTTGTTACATCCTGAAGAACATCTTTTTTTTTAAGATGTTGATGGACCTTTATTTTATTCATTTATTTAAATGTGGCACTGAGAATTGAACCCAGTGCCTTACACATGCTAGGCAAGCACTCTATCACTGAGCCACAGCCCGGCCCCATGAAGAGCATCTTTTAAATAAATTATGTGTATCACCATAATATAAATACAGTAATAAAGTATACTGTCTTAAAGGTACATATTTTGTTATAGTTTAATATCTATTTTTTTACCTGTTAATTTTGCTATAGGCTGAAATCAGTTAGTAATTGCACTTTTGTCAATTTCCTGCCTTATTTTCTTTAAAAGGAAAAAAAATAGGAATTTTTAAATAATAGAAATATATATTTTTTAAAATTTATTTTTTAGTTGTAGTTGGACACAATACCTTTATTTTATTTATTTTTATGTGGTGCTGAGGATTGAACCCAGGGCCTCACACATGCTAGGTGAGTGCTCTACCACTGAGCCACAACCTCAGCCCCTAGAAATATATTTTTAAGATGATGGAATGTGCTGGACATTATTATCCAAAGTACATGTATAAAGACAGGAATTGGTGTGAATATACTTTGTATACAACCAGAGATATGAAAAATTGTGCTCTATATGTGTAATAAGAATTATAATGCATTTCACTGTCATATATAAATTTAAAAAAATAAAAAAAAGAAAGACATTTTTAAGTAGGCCATATAGAATTAGATTTTGCATATCTATTTTATTATTACTTTGGATAAATCTTCATTCTGTGTAGTTCCAAATGTGTTTGTTTTGACAGTTTATAGTACTTAGGATCCTGACCTGCATGATTTCTTTTTGGTATGAAAATTATTTTCCCAGAGGTAAATACCATTTAGAGGATTTATGGAATTCTTGAAGTATGAGGGTAATTATAGAACCTCAAACATTGTTTTTTTTTTTTTTAATTTCAAAATTTTATCAAACAGTACAACTGTAGTAAAATAATGAAAAATTTTCCCAGAGAGCTTATGATATTACCACATTTTTTATAGTTATACATTTTTAAAAATTTTTTAATGATCTAGATTATAATTTCTTTCTGAGGTGCTGGGGATGGAACTCAGGGCCTTGCTTATGTTAAGCTAGTGCTCTATCAGTGAGCTATACCCTCAGCCCTGAATCATAATTTCCTAATGTTATATAGATTCCTTAGAATAAAATACTTATAAGCAATTTTTTTCCCTCTTAGCTAGGAAATATCACTCTCTCAATAGAAATTTATGTTGTATAACTGTTAAAATGTTTGATTTTGGTATATCAGTGAAGTAAATAGGTTTAGATTATTTTTCTTTATGTACATATTGTCTAAAAAACTTATGGATTATATTTAACCTTAAAATAATGATCACAGGCTTAATTTCAGTAATTTGATTCTTTTTATAGGTATAATAAAAAATGGTGGTGTAAAACCAAATATCATTCCCTCTTACTCTGAATTAATTTATTACTTCCGTGCACCCTCATTGAAAGAACTTCAAGTTTTGACCAAAAAGGCAGAAGATTGCTTCAGATCTGCAGCTTTGGCTACAGGGTGCACAGTAAGAACTTTTAAGAGTTAATTATAATCAGAGGTATATATGTGGGCTTGGGCTGTTTATGTTAAATTATATTGAAACCTAACTTGCTTGCCTCCTTCTCATTTGGTGGTGGTAATATTTTGGTGCTGGGGATTGAACCCAGGGCCTGTACTCACTGGTGATGTCTGGAATTTGTAAAGTAAGTTGGTCTAATAATTAATATGAAAGCCTTTAATTCTTATGTATTTTACTCAGTGTCTGAAAAGGGAAGACTACACATCTTTTTTTTTTTTTTTTTTTGGTACCGGGGATTGAACTCAGGGGCACTTAACCACTGAGTCACATCCCCAGTCCTATTTTGTATTTTTATTAGAGACAGGGTCTCACTGAGTTGCTTAGCTCCCTGCTTTTTGCTGAGGTTGGCTTTGAACTTGTGATCCTCCTGCCTCAGCCTCCCCAGCCATTGGGATTACAGGCATGTGCCACCACTCCTGGCTTACACATCATCTTATAGAGTAATTTGGATATTGCTGCTCTAGAATCCCTGCCTTTTGGCAAGTTGCAACCTTCATTGTTGGCAATTATGCTTTTAGAAATGCTTACAGTAAACGGAACTTAATGTCAAAATCTACAAAAGCTGTTTCTGTTAAAATAGTGATACAAATACTCATAATGGCTGGAATGGAAGTTAAACACAGAAGTTAGTCAAGAGAATTTGCTGATTTGCATTTAAGTATCAGTCATTTTTGGTTTAAAGTGGGGTGAGTTTTAGGATTATATAAAATAAGAATTTTGCACATAGTCTAGTTGGAGAGACAAGATCTTGACTTGTGCTGCTCAGCCTCGAAACATTATTTGTATCTCTGAGTCTTCATTTTCTCACTTGAAAATAGGGATAATGACACAATCTTAGAATTCTTTTGAGAGATAAATGAAATAGTGTTTGTGAACAGGTAAGAGCATAACCTTCACATGTATTAACATTTTTTTCTGTCCTCCGTAGTCTAGTGATGTATGATTTGTTCACATTGTAGCAGTGTTTCATGGTAGCAGTAATTCTCAGACAGTGTATGTTAAGTGTATTAATAGTAATGTGGATAGTAAGTGTCAGGAAGAATCTGAGACAGGAAATCACTGGCCTGGGGGTATTAAAAGGAAGATTTTATGGAAGACTATAGATCTGAATGGAGCTTTTAAGGATGATCATACTTTCAGGTATGTGAAGGACAGAGAGTGAGAGCGCACAGATGGGAAATGTGATCAACAAAGGGAAGAATTCTGTAAAAGCTCATGTTGTGTTGTTGTGAATACATAAATAAATACATGGACAATTGTAAGAGCAAGTACATAGCCTCATATGCCATTACAGACAGTAGGTATAGAATTAGTATATAATTGTAAAGCATCCATAGCTTAGGGCAGTACAAACTAAGCTTTTATTCCCTTACTTACCTATAAATATTTAAATATTTGTTTATAAAATACATATGTGAACTCTTACCATTAGCCTATCTCTCAAAGTGTACAATATTCCCTTAGTAAAGTTTATTGTTATAGTATTTAAATCTATTTAAGTGATGTTTTAATAATTTCTTATATTTTGACTGACTTGAAAGATGTGACTAAATTGTCATTGTTTCTACCTTAGATGTTACCAAGAAGAGAAGAAATGTGATCTCTGCTATTTCATGATTGGCATTTGCTATTATTTTTGATATTATATTTAGTCCAAGGGAATTGCTGATTTGAGTTAGTCCTGAATCTATAAATCCACTTAACTGGGCACATACACACCCCAGGCCAGTGATTTCTTGCCTCAGATTCTTCCTGACACTTACTATCCACATTACTATTAGTACACTTAACATACACTGTCTGTATCATCATACACTTAAATTAATAAATGAGGACCACTGTCAACCCCTTCTCATTGTGAAACTTTGGTATTTCTTACAGGGTACCTTTCGGACCAGGCAGGGGTATCAGTGTCATTTTGAATGTTAAATGTTAGTGAAGCTCAATTTTTTTTCTTTTGGACACTGAAACTAGAGTGGTATTCCTCAGACTGGTTTTTTTGGCCACCTGCATCAGAATTACTTGGGGATGCTGGTTAAAATAGTAATTTCTGGGCTCTCCCTACACCTTCTTCAGGTGACTGAAGTTGACACTTGCTGGCTAGTTTAGAGCTTGGTGACATTATGTGGTTTAGATCATTTAAAACATTAGGGAGGGCTGGGGATGTGGCTCAAGTGGTAGCGCACTCGCCTGGCATGCGTGTGGCTCGGGTTCGATCCTCAGCACCACATACAAAAAAAGATGTTGTGTCCGCTGAAAACTAAAAAATAAATATTAAAAAATAATAATAAAATAAATAAAACATTAGGGAGATAGGGTCTTAAAAACTTTCATTATAAGATACTTTTTTTTTTTTTTTTTTTTTTTTTAAGGTAGGGAATTTGAGTAAGCTTATGTCTGGATGGAAAAGTGCCCCCTCTTGGCTGGGCATGGTAACACATGCCCGAAATCCCAGTGGCTTGGAAGGCTGAAGCAGGAGGATTGCAAGTTCAAAGCCAGGCTCAGCAATTTAGCCAGGCTCAGCAATTTAGCGAGGCTCTATCTCAAAATAAAATATAAAAACTGGCTGGGGTTGTGGCTTGGTGGTTAAGCACCTCTGGGTTCAATCCCCAGTACACCCCCCCATCCCTGGCGCAAAACAACAAATCTGTTCCTGTTAGAACCCTCACTGGATTGAAAATTAGAGAATTTGCATTTTTTAAATTTCAAAATTTGTTTTGTAATTTTTTTTATTAGGTAGAAATTAAAGGTGGAGCACATGATTATTACAATGTTCTACCCAACAAGAGCCTATGGAAAGCTTACATGGAGAATGGAGAAAAGCTGGGAATAGAGTTCATTTCAGAAGATACAATGCTGAATGACACTTCAGGTAATTAAGTTCTTTTATTGTATTTCGAGCTACCTGAGGATGAGTAATGCCATCTTCAATTAAATGGTTTTGGAGGTAAGGAAGTACTGCTGATGTTTTTAATGACATTTTCACAAACTTAATGGTTGGGGAAAACTAATGGATTCTTCAGTGAGTATAGACTGTCAAGTTAGCAGACTTGTTTTTATAAGTAGCCAACCTAGTTTTTGATCTGTTTTCTGAATATTTCTAGTGTTTCAGTTTCCTTAGTTCTAATTTTTGAATAAGCTACTAAAATGGGATATAGAATTTTTTTATTGGTTGTTCAAAACATTACAAAGCTCTTGACATATCATATTTCATACATTAGATTCAAGTGGGTTATGAACTCCCATTTTTACCCCAAATACAGATTGCAGAATCACAACGGTTACACATCCACATTTTTACATAATGCCATACTAGTGACTGTTGTATTCTGCTACCTTTCCTATCCTCTACTATCCCCCCTCCCCTCCCCTCCCATCTTCTCTCTCTACCCCATCTACTGTAATTCATTTCTCTCCTTGTTTTTTTCCCATTCCCCTCACAACCTCTTGTATGTAATTTTGTATAACAATGAGGGTCTCCTTCCATTTCCATGCAATTTCCCTTTTCTCTCCCTTTCCCTCCCACCTCATGTCTCTGTTTAATGTTAATCTTTTCCTCCTGCTCTTCCTCCCTGCTCTGTTCTTAGTTGCTCTCATTATATCAAAGAAGACACTTGGCATTTGTGTTTTAGGGATTGGCTAGCTTCACTTAGCATAATCTGCTCTAGCGCCATCCATTTCCCTGCAAATTCCATGATTTTGTCATTTTTTAGTGCTGCATAATACTCCATGGTGTATAAATGCCACATTTTTTTTATCCATTCATCTATTGAAGGGCATCTAGGTTGGTTCCACAGTCTAGCTATTGTGAATTGTGCTGCTATGAACATCGATGTGGCAGTATCCCTGTAGTACGCTCTTTTAAGGTCTTCAGGGAATAGTCCGAGAAGGGCAATAGCTGGGTTAAATGGTGGTTCCATTCCCAGCTTTCCCAGGAATCTCCATACTGCTTTCCAAATTGGCCGCACCAATTTGCAGTCCCATCAGCAATGTACAAGAGTACCCTTTTCCCCACATCCTCGCCAGCACTTGTTGTTGTTTGACTTCAGAATGGCTGCCAATCTTACTGGAGTGAGATGGTATCTTAGGGTGGTTTTCATTTGCATTTCTCTGACTGCTAGAGATGGTGAGCATTTTTTCATGTACTTGTTGATTGATTGTATGTCCTCCTCTGAGAAGTGTCTGTTCAGGTCCTTGGCCCATTTGTTGATTGGGTTATTTGTTATCTTATTGTCTAGTTTTTTGAGTTCTTTGTATACTCTGGATATTAGGGCTCTATCTGAAGTGTGAGGAGTAAAGATTTGTTCCCAGGATGTAGGCTCCCTATTTACCTATCTTATTGTTTCTCTTGCTGAGAAAAAACTTTTTAGTTTAAGTAAGTCCCATTTGTTGATTCTTGTTATTAACTTTTGTGCTATGGGTGTCCTATTGAGGAATTTGGAGCCCGACCCCACAATATGTAGATCGGAGCCAACTTTTTCTTCTATCAGACGCAGAGTCTCTGATTTGATATCAAGCTCCTTGATCCATTTTGAGTTAACTTTTGTGCATGGTGAGAGAAGGGGATTCAGTTTCATTTTGTTGCATATGGATTTCCAGTTTTCCCAACACCATTTGTTGAAGATGCTATCCTTCCTCCATTGCATGCTTTTAGCCCCTTTATCAAATATAAGATAGTTGTAGTTTTGTGGATTAGTCTCTGTGTCCTCTATTCTGTACCATTGGTCCACCCGCCTGTTTTGGTACCAGTACCATGCTGTTTTTGTTACTATTGCTCTGTAATATAGTTTGAAATCTGGTATCGCTATACCGCCTGATTCACACTTCCTGCTTAGAGTTGCTTTTGCTATTCTGGGTCTTTTATTTTTCCATATGAATTTCATGATTGCTTTCTCTATTTCTACAAGAAATGCCGTTGGGATTTTGATTGGCATTGCATTAAACCTATAGAGAACTTTTGGTAATATCGCCATTTTGATGATGTTAGTTCTGCCTATCCATGAACAGAGTATATTTTTCCATCTTCTAAGATCTTCTTCTACTTCTCTTTTTAGGGTTCTGTAGTTTTCATTGTATAAGTCTTTCACCTCTTTTGTTAGGTTGATTCCCAAGTATTTTATTTTTTTTTGAGGATATTGTGAATGGAGTGGTTGTCCTCATTTCCATTTCAGAGGATTTGTCTCTGATATACAGGAATGCCTTTGATTTATGTGTGTTAATTTTATATCCTGCCACTTTGCTGAATTCATTTATTAGCTCTAATAGTTTCTTTGTAGACCCTTTTGGGTCTGCTAGGTATAGAATCATGTCACCTGCAAATAGTGATAATTTAAGTTCTTCTTTTCCTATTTTTGTGCCTTTAATTTCTTTCATCTGTCTAATTGCTCTGGCCAGTGTTTCGAGAACTATATTGAATAGAAGTGGTGATAGAGGGCATCCCTGTCTTGTTCCAGATTTTAGAGGGAATGCCTTCAATTTTTCTCCATTCAGAATGATGCTAGCCTGAGGCTTAGCATAGATAGCTTTTACAATGTTGAGGTATGTTCCTGTTATCCCTAGTTTTTCTAATGTTTTGAACATAAAAGGATGCTGTACTTTGTCGAATGCTTTTTCAGCGTCTATCGAGATGATCATATGGTTCTTACCTTTAAGTCTATTGATGTGGTGAATAACATTTATTGATTTCTGTATATTGAACCATCCTTGCATCCCAGGGATGAATACTACTTGATCATGGTGCACAATTTTTTTTGATGTGTTTTTGTATCTGATTCGCCAGAATTTTATTGAGGATTTTTGCATCTAGGTTCATTAGGGATATTGGTCTGTAGTTTTCTTTCTTTGAGGTGTCTTTGTCTGGTTTCGGAATCAGGGTGATGTTGGCCTCATAGAATGAATTTGGAAGAGCTCCCTCTTTTTCTATTTCCTGAAATAACTTGAAAAGTATTGGTATTAAATCTTCTTTAAAGGTTTTGTAAAACTCCGCTGTATACCCATCCGGTCCTGGGCTTTTCTTGGTTGGTAGTCTTTTGATTGCTTCTTTTATTTCATCCATTGATATTGGTCTGTTCAAATTGTGTGTATCCTCCTGACTCAGTCTGGGCAAATCATATGACTTAAGAAATTTATCGATGTCTTCACTATCTTCTATTTTATTGGAATATAGGTTTTCAAAATAATTTCTAATTGTCTTCTGTATTTCTGTAGCATCTGTTGTGATATTGCCTTTTTCATCCCGTATGTTAGTAATTTGAGTTCTCTCTCTTCTTCTCTTCGTTAGCATGGCTAAGGGTCTGTCGATCTTATTTATTTTTTCGAAGAACCAACTTTTAGTTTTGTTAATTTTTTCAATAGTTTCTTTTTTTTTTTTTAGAGAGAGAGAGAGAGAATTTCAATATTTATTTTTTCAGTTTTCAGCAGACACAACATCTTTGTTTGTATGTGGTGCTGAGGATCGAACCCTGGGCCGCACGCATGCCAAGCGAGCGTGCTACCACTTGAGCCACATCCCCAGCCCCCTCAATAGTTTCTTTTGTTTCAATTTCGTTGATTTCCGCTCTGATTTTAATTATTTCTTGCCTTCTGCTACATTTGCTGTTGTTTTGCTCTTCCTTTTCTAGGGCTTTGAGATGAAGTGTGAACTCATTTATTTGTTGGTTTTTCCTTTTTTTGAGGAATGACCTCCAGGCGATGAATTTCCCTCTTAAAACTGCTTTCATTGTGTCCCATAGATTCCGATATGTTGTGTCTGTATTTTCATTTATCTCTAAGAATTTTTTGATTTCCTCCTTTATGTCTTCTGTAACCTATTGATCATTCAGTAACATATTGTTCATTTTCCATGTGATGTAGGATTTTTCCTTCCTTCTTTTATCATTGATTTCCAGTTTCATTCCATTATGATCAGATAAAATGCATGGTATTATCTCCACCCCTTTATATTTACTGAGGGTTGCCTTATGGCATAATATATGGTCTATTTTTGAGAAGGATCCATGTGCTGCTGAGAAAAAAGTATATCCACTTGATGATGGTTGATATATTCTATATATGTCAGTTAAGTCTAGGTTATTGATTGTGATATTGAGTTCTATAGTTTCTTTATTCAACTTTTGTTTGGAGGATCTGTCCAATGGTGAGAGAGGCGTGTTGAAGTCACCCATAATTATTGTGTTGTGGTCTATTTGATTCTTGAACTTGAGGAGAATTTGTTTTATGAACGTCGCAGCACCATTATTTGGTGCATAAATATTGATAATTGTTATGTCTTGTTGGTGAATGGTTCCTTTTAACAGTATATAATGTCCTTCCTTATCCCTTTTGATTAACTTAGTCTTGAAGTCGATTTTATTCGATATGAGGATGGCCACCCCTGCTTGTTTACGAGGACTGTGTGCGTGGTATATTTTTTCCCAACCTTTCACCTTCAGCCTGTGTATGTCTTTTCCAATCAGATGTGTCTCCTGGAGGCAGCATATTGTTGGATTTGTTTTTTTAATCCATGTTACCAGCCTATGTCACTTTTTTGGAGAGTTTAAGCCATTAACGTTTAGAGTTACTATTGATATATGGTTTGTACTTCCAGCCATGTTTGATTATTTATCTTCTTTTTTTTTTTTTTTTAATTTAGTTTGTTTCTCCATGATTAGCTTTCCCCCCGCCCTCTGTCTTTACCGAGGCACTTCCCACTGATGGTTTTGGTTATTGTTTTTCATTTCTTCCTCGTGTAGTGTTTTCCTCAAGATGCTTTGCAGTGCTGGTTTTCTGGCTGCAAATTCTTTAAACTTTTGTTTATCATGAAAGATTTTTATTTCATTGTCGTACCTGAAGCTTAATTTTGCTGGATACAGAATTCTTGGTTGGCATCCATTG